ACCAGGCGAGAAAATAACAAAAATAATGAACAACCATATACCAGAGACATTTTGTGGGGGTGGAGTGGGGAATGGGATCAAAAACGGGGGTGGGGGGTGGGGGTGAAGAAAAATGCACGGGATTATGGTGATGGCACACGGGTGATTTGGTGATGGGAAACCCGCGGGGATTACAATCGTGATGGGAAAAAAAAATGTACAAAATGATGTAAAAATAAACTTATGTTTAAAAAAATAAATAAAAATAAAAACAACAGACAATAAAAAAAAAAATTGATCTCAACCAGTAGGTCATTGGGTGGCTAAGTTGCACTTCTTCACATCCTCATTGTGTTTTCCCACCCACATAGGTCCACATGTCAGGCTTTCACAAGGATTCACTAGTTAGGGAACTCACAGTGCTGCTCTTTTCAGTTTACCTAGACATGCCAAAGAAAGTGCTGTGGCCTTGGTGCCACAACAGGTGCAGGGGTCAGGTGTAAGGTCAGTGTCGTGACAATGGTTGGAAAGCCTGTCTCCTCCTTCTGTACCCATGTTCCCCTCTGGTTGAAGTGTTTATAGACCAGGCCTTAAAACGTGTAATTGTTGAGTCTGATTCAGGTTACAAAATAGTAACTATGACACACAAACAAAAAAACTATCACCTTCCACCATTGACTATACTTTTAACTTTCAAGTTGCTTCAGAATAGACTACAAATCAGATACATACTTCAAAGTAACCTATTTTTTTCTTATTATTGTTTTATGCATGGTGCAATCCAAGTGGAAAATTCTAAGGATTTTGGTGTTATTTGCTTCCTCAACACGCTTACTGGATGTCTACTACCTACAGAGTGCCCTAAGAAGTGGCAGGATGAAATGTACTTCTGCAAATTCTGTAAATCAAGGCAAACCCCACCTCTGTATTCATGGAGGTTTTTTATCTAGCAGGTGAGGTCAAAGTGGAGCACAATTCACAATATCAACAAATATGCTAAATTCTCAGAAGTTAAGGATCTGAGAATGTGTCCTGAGGGACTTCAGCTGCCTGGAGGTTCTTTGGGGAAGTAACATTTCAGCTGAGACAAGCTGCCATCTGCTCAAGTGTTGTGTAACTGCTGTCACATTCCCATTCTGACTCTTGTCTATGTCTCAGAACTTGGGTCCTCCTGTTTAAAACGAGGCTAATATGCAAAATGGTGGGAATGAGGGAGAAAAAAACATCGTACCTCTTGTATCAGCCATGTATTAAGTCGTAAGGGCATGGCACGTCTTACAACTATATGTCAATGACAGCATTCAAGGAAAACTAAGATTGTCCAACCGCTGAAGATACATGTACAGAGGCAAAAATTGTCAAAATCTCCAAATTCAAGGGATTATTACTTCCCCATGCCTGTAGGGGGGCGGGGGGCTTCAAGTCCTGAATTTCAAATGTTTGAGCATCAAAAACTTCAAGGCTCTGCTTAACACTTTTTTCATAAGGAGCTGTTGAGAATTTTTGGAGTTTGATCTCTTTCTGTAGGTAATCCCAAACCAGAACAAAGTTTTTAGGTAAAACATGCCATAGAAAAGATCTCCGGCCGAGGACACACGTTACATTAAATGCTGGCAGCAAATGTTGAAATGAGGGGAGAAGCGCTGAATGGTCAAGTGGAAGCCTGAGTTGAGGATTCAGAAGACCAAGCGCCACCGGTTGGGACCTGAGAGGGAGAGAGGCTCTCGTTCCCGTCAGCGCATAGGGGCTGACGTGCTTGGGGAACCCGGTCGGGGATGCCCAGAGCCCCTCCGGGGCGCTCCCTTCCCAGGCTGCATGGCTTCTAGAACCCCGGCCGGCCGTTTCCTCGCCCTTCAAAAGAGCTGGGGTGATTTCTAAGTGGCGGTCACCGCCGCCGAGAACGCGGGGAACTCGGGAAGGAAGTGGGAGTGCGCGGGGCAGGCGGGGCGGGGAGAACACGGCGCCGAGGGAGGGCTGCAGGCAGCAGTGGGAGGGATGCTGGGCGCGGTGGGAGGGGTGAGCAGGAGTGCGAGGTGGCGGAACGGAGACCTGGGCGCTGCGGCGTGGCGGAGGAAGAGCGCGAGGTGCCCCTCCGGGTCTCGCCGCCAGGTGACCCCGAGATGCCGCTGCCGCCGCTGTTGCTGCTGCTGCTCCTGGGGTCCCTGGGTCCCTTCTGCCCCGGCGCGCTGGCGGGGCCCGCCGAGGCCGAGGACATCGTGAAGCTGGACTTCTCCACCGAGCGGCCGGTGCGCCTGGTGAGTCCCGCGTTCCTGTCCTTCACCATCGACGCCAACTTGGCCACGGACCCGCGCTTCCTCATCTTCCTGGGGTAAGCGACGAACCGCAAGTCCCGGTCCCCTCTCCGGTGCCCCGACATTCACGCCAGCTCCGCCAGTTACTCTTTTCTCTTTGGCCACTTCCCAGAACACCGTCCTGGGAAGCCCCGAGCGAGTGTACCTGTCAGGGCCATGAACGCTGCAATTTGCTGCGTACACGGAAGATTGTGGGCCGGGCTTCCAATCCTAAACTCTGTTAGGGAGGTATTTGGGGTTTTATTTTGCTTTGTTTTGTTTTTTAAGTCAGATGGAAACGGCCTCAGGGAGTGGGAGTGGGGGGGAGAGGGGAAGAAGGGGATACATGTTACTTCATATATAATTTTTTAAAATAAAGTTTTAAAGAGCAGTTTCAGGTTCATAGTAAAATTGAACGTAAGATGCAGAGATTTCATATATTACTTTTTAAATCTAAATATTAAAGAAACGACACTCGGGAACTATTGCAGTGATAGAATGTTTTAATAAAAAGAGCCCTCTCCAAGATGTGCCCTCAAACTGTGGTGCTGCTAAGTTGTAGCTTTTTCTCACCTGAGAAAGACTGAAATTGGTGCAGATTCCTGGCCCAGGGTAGGGAGCTGCAAAGACAGTCCCAGGTCATCTAGGCCTCTCATCTAGGTCACCAGAGCCACCAGAGACTGCCATAGCCCAGCCTACACAGACAGCAGGGAATCTTGTTATAGCTAAACACCTACATGCAGCCTTTCCTGTGCCCACACTGTCAGTTACTGATTTCAGACATTTATTCTGCAGGTAAGCCACCAGTTAAGAGATAGCCAGTCAGACAACCCTGACTTGACTCTCAAGTCTTCCAAAGCTGGGTGGCTTGCTTCTTAAAAATAGTTCTGCAACTTCAAGTCCCAGTTTCATCATCTATGGAATGGAACCCCTAAATCCTTCTTGTGGTTTGTTATGGAAATTTGATCAGTTAAATTCATACTTAACACAGAAAAGGATGTTTAAAATTTAATCTAATTGCTTCTTCCTGGAAAGTGGTGAGTGCTTACTATTCACCAGTTTTCTGTGTGTTTCTTTTGATTATAGTTCATTTCCTCTCCCCCCCCCCCTGTGGCAAGAGATAGAGAAGTTCCTATTGAGAAGGACATTTTTTTTTTTGTCCTTCTAATCAGGCAAAGCCATACCAATTAACACCTGGTTGAAAGACAAAAAGATTACTCTGGAAAAAGGCTGGACTAAGGGGCCCCATCGCTGAAGCCTCAGAGGCCAGACTGGGAGGGTGGGTAGGGATGGGAGTGTAAGACACCTAACTGAAAAGAGATGACTATTTACTGAAATAATAACTCATATCCTCTTATGCTGTTATTGTCATCTGCCTCACCCCCTCTCCAAGGAAGGGTATTTGGGGATTACTTTCTGGAGCAATGGATCCAAAATAAAAAAAACAAAAACCTGAAGTATGACTTTTCGGTTGCAGGTCTAAACATCCTGCAGCCAAGCTAACTAATTGACTAGTTGGTTAACACCCCCTCAGAACATGCACAGAATTTCCAGGCTACAGTCTTTGTCCTTCATTTCCCAAGTTCTCCTCATACCCACCTTTTTGGTAAAAGCTGGAGGATTATGGAAAAAAAAAAAAAAAAAAAGAGCATTGCATCTAGTTTTGTTTACAAAGCAAGGTCAATTCCTGTTCTTATCTAGGGCTGGCTGTCTATTCCAGGTACCAGCCCTACTCTTATCCCATATTTTTTTAATTTTCATTTTAAAATGAAGAAACTGAGGCTCAGGGAGATTCAACAGTGTGCACGTGATCAACTAACTATTACATGAAGGAGCTTTTTTTTTTTTTAAGATTGATTTATTTATTCATACAGAACTAGGGTACAAGCCAGAGGTACAGGGGTGGTGAGAGGCTTCACAAGAGACAGAGTGGGGAGCAGAACAGGCAGATCAATGAAGTACACTGCTGAGGGGAGCAGCGGGTGGTCAGGAGAGGTCTGCCACGCCATGTGGGTCACCTCCAGAGTGGGGATCAAACTCATGCTGAAGTGTTTCTAGCTTCTTAGTGCTGTGCTTTAACCCGCTGCACCACCAAGTAGGCCCTGAAGGAGCAGTTTTAACCGAGATGCTAATTGCAGAAATAACTGTACATTAAAAAGAAAGTGAAACGCTTTACATTTTTTCAAAGGAACAGGGTAGAATATGGAAGGAGAATATTGTCCGGAAGCAAGTGAGAAGACTGATATAATGAAAGGAAGTGTTGACTCAGCGCCCAAAGTCTATGATACTTTAAAAAGGCCAAAATGAAATTATTCAGGGACGTGGTTTTGCTCTCCCACTATGCCAAGCAGATGTGGGTGGTTACAACTGGAGAAGATAGAACACACAAAACTGAAGTACCAGTGTTAGAACAAACTAGAATTGGAAAAGCACATCTTTTCAACTTGCCCTTCTCAGAGGTCACCAATGGAGCTTACAAATGGCTACATACAAGGCTGTAAATTTTCTAGTAGTCATGTTTTAAAAAGGTGAAAAAAAGGCCCTCCCTGGTGGCCCAGTGGGTTAAAGCACAGCACTAAGAAGCTAAAGCCACTTCTGCATGAGTTCGATTCCCGCCTGCCCCAGAGGTGACCACATGGTGTGGCAGACCTCTCCTGACCCGCCCGCTGCTCCCCTCAGCAGTGTACTTCGTTGATCTGCCTGTTCTGCTCCCCACTCTCTCTGGTGAGGTCTCTCGCCGCCCCTCAGCCTCTGACCCCAGTTCTGTATGCGCAAATAAATAAATCAACAGGTAAGTTTGCTTTTAATAAAATACTTCAGTCAAAATATGTAAGGTATCATTTCAACATGTAATCGGTATAAAAATTTCGATGAGCCATTCAACATTCTTTTTTGAACCAGCTGTTCAAACCTGATAAGCATTTTATATTCATAGCACATCTCAGTTCCAACTGGACACATTTCAAGTGCTGGCCACATATAGCTCGTGGTTACCTTAATAGACACTGCTGTTCACTTTCCCATCAAGACACATGTACAAACATGGTTCACCAGCATAATGTTAAAATGCTGAGTCAGTGGAGATGTGAAATACCATCGAGTGAAAATGTGGAGCTAAGCAGTACTAGCAATAATAAACTTATTTTGCTTTTCATAAGAATATGGCTGTTTTCCTTCAGCAGTTCTTCATTTTTTGCCAGTTTGAAAACTGTTTATTGATAATAACTTTCAATCAGATTCTGCTTCATTGACATGGTTTTTCATATTCAGAAAAAGTGCATATTATCAACGTTAGATGCAACGTTTGATAACCAACACTGGAAAGAGCTGCAAGTCCTCTGTGTGCAAGTTGTTGGGAAAATAACTACGGCCAAAGACAAACAGAAAACTAACAGCCACAAGCCAGAGAGACTCACTTCCATCCTCATTTCAAGCTCCCATTGTGCACTTCTTCCCAAACCTTCCATTATGCAACCTGGAGCCCTTTGTTAGTTAACTTTCTTATCCTCCCATAGAATATTCCCACCACCTCCTTGCCCAACCTGAGTCTTCGCCCATCTCTGAAGACCCAGGTACAGATGTAGACACGGTTATTTCTCTGAAGTAGCCCTTTGGAGAAGCTGTGCTTTCTCCCATGCTGCAGCCCTTCTCCTTCTCCAGTGCAACTTCTAGATGGTTGCCTGTCAGTTTGAACTTTAGAACTCACGGTTGCTATCATTCAAATCCCTTGGGCTTGTTACCTTGGGCAAATTACTTAAACGCCTTTTGTTTAGGTTCTTGGACTGCTAAATAAGGATGAGAATGATACCCTCTCTCATTGGATTGTGTGAGATTAAGTGAAATGGCTAAGTGACTAAAATGCCCCATTTGGGTTCATCTGATGCAAATTAGAGATACAGTGACCGCCTGTGAGGGTCATCCTTCCATGTCTGACTCTCCCTAGGCTTTCTGTCACCTTGCTTTGCTCCCTGCTTACTTCTGCTCTTAATTCGTGACTATAAACTGGCACTGATGTCAGTCAGTGGCATAGCTCATCAATCCACGTCTACATCCCACCATCCTAAATGATTTCAAGCCCATTTCAATAAATTGTCTCTTAGTTTATTTAAACCCATATTTAAAAATAGCCATCACTCACTGATACACTAGAACCAGCTTGCACCAGTTTATGAAATGTATGCATCACTTTCAGATATGCCAAGCAATAAAGTACTTGACATCAGCCCTAATGTGAATAGTTACACCATAGAAATCGGAAAACACAAACAACGCACTTTATTTTTTAGAGAGCCAGCTTTCTAACACAGCCTGTTCCATTCCACTTCAGTTTCCTAATGCCAAGGTTATGCTTTGAACCCTTTCATCAGAATTTGAAATCTTAAATGAAAACCTCTCATTTTTGGTCTGCAGTCCTTACTTGCTTAGCTCTTTCACCTACAATTATTTTAAGTACTTCCACTAAACAGCCTTCTCCTTTCTCCATCTCCATATCTGATTTGGAAGTCTTTATCACATGAATCATTGTTGTCATAACATCCCCACGCCTCTATCCCATTGATCTTCCAGTTAAATTCTAAACCTGAGTCTGTTTTCAGATTTGGATAGGTGGTCCAATTATATTTTCCTTGTTAGAATCTGTAGGATTCCAAACGTCTGGAAATAGAAAAATATTATTTCATCACAAACTGTAATGCATATATACCACTTTTTTATATTTGCCTCTGCTTCCGGTCTTCCAGGCTACTCTGTAGAGCTAGAATCTCAGCATAGTGAGCTCTAGGGTTTGAGGGTGAGTCTCACAGCCACATAGATTGAATTGCACTATAAATTCTTGAGCTCTAGACTTTCTTTGTCCTTTGTGCTAACACTTCACTCTTCTTTTCCTGCCTCTCTCGTTCTCCATTTCCTTCAAAATGCTGACCCCACCTCTCTTTGATCACTATCAGTGTATGACTGCATTACTTTTCAAAAAAAAAAAAAATCAGTTTAGAGAAACTTCCTTCTCTTCTTGACTTCAGACCTGTAGGTGTATGATATGAATTTGTGTATCCCACTTTCTTCCACTTCTCCCTTCTTAGGCCATTTCTTCTAGTTCTGCTATGCACCCCACTTTCCTACCTCTCACCCCCTTTGATCCATCAGCCGTCTCTGTCCTGCATTTTTAGCCTCTCCCTTTTTATTGGCCCCTTCCCTTAGTTACACACCTTCCAGTCCCTCTCCTCCCAAACACCTGCCTGCACAAGTGCCTCTTTCTCCCTTCCCGTTGCAGACTCCTTCCTGCCCACTCTTCCTTTGTTCACCCTCAAGATGTCCCTGTCACTTGTCATTAAAATCAATCTTTCCAACATTATCAATAACCTTTTATTGCAAAATCCAGTGAACAAACATTTTTCAATCTTGATTTTATTTGGGTTTCTCTTATGGGTTGAATTTTTGGGTGTCCCCCCCCACACACACACACAGGTATTTTTTGAGTTGAAATGTGACCTTATTTGGAAATAGGATCACTACCTATGTAATTAGTCATCTAATGTCCCCAAATGTAATTAGGTCACATTGGAATGACTGACAACCTAATAAAAAGGGGAGTTTGGAGACAGACACGCACACAAGGAGGAAGATTAGAATTATGCTGCTCTGGAAACTATCAGAAGCTAGCCAAATCCTTCCTCAACTTCCTCAGAAGATATTACTTCTGAGGAAGTAAGATCTTGCCAATACCTCCAGAACTTGAAAATACTAAATTCCTGTTGTTTAAGCCTCCCAGCTTGTGGTAGTTAATTTGCACCACTAGAAAACTAATATAATCTCTTGAAGCATGTGGCAAAGTTAACAATCAAGGCACTTTCTCATTCCTTTGGTTCTGTCACTTCCATTTCCCTGTTTCTCGTGTCCTAACAGTTTTTCTCCATCTCTTTCTCTAGTTTGTCATAATTGTTGATGTTCCTCAGATCTCTGACCTGGGCTTTTATTTTTTTTCACTTCACAAACTGTCCTGCATGGTTTCAGCCACTTGCATGGCTTGAATCACTATTCCTGTTGTGGTGTGCTAGAGAATGTTTTAACAGTGAGCTCTCTGGGAGGAGAGAAGAGAGGGGAAGGTAGGGGAGAAGAGACGGGTTCACGCTTTTTTTCTGATTTCTGAAGTACAAATTCTCTCATCATGACAATTTCAAACTTCCCAAATCATAACAACTGGTTCACAATGTTCTTCAGATTTTAACAGTTGTTTTTCACAAGCCAGTATAAGCCCACTCCAGCACACCTCTGCTATTTGTACTATTATCTTTGCACAAAAGCTAAAACAAAAATACCTGCAGACTTTTCCCCCTAGCAACTGGCAACTGCTCCAGAAATGGAATGTGTGCAGCTGCTTTTATGTGTTCTTTTGTTATGTTCATATCACTGTGGTCACAGATTTTGTTTTCCTTTCTCTTTCCTGTATGTGATTGAAATATTGTGCCTTTGATCAGTTTTGTTTTTATGACATATTTCACAGTTGTTTTAAGTCTGATTTTTGTCAGAGGGCATCAATATTGTATTTTCAAAACAAGAAAATATCCCATTTCAAAGGAGATGAGCAAAAAGCCCCTTAATACCAATATTGTGAAACAAACATGAGTTTCATTATTTGACAGAAGCCATAGCAGTGGGTTGTCAGTGCAGAAAATAGCCTCTTCTGGTTCTTCTTGCCTTTTCGTCAGACTGGACTTGACTGTTCAAATATACTTAACAAATATTTATAAAAGCACCAGTTATGCTCCCAATCCTTGTCTAGGTGCTGAGGGATTCTGATGAGCCAGACAAGGTCCCTGCTTTCACAGAGCTCACATCAGGGCTGGGGACTGAAGTAGGCAGTAGATGAAAGAAGCATGAAGAAGCTAATTTCAACAGCAGTGCCTGCTGTGAAGAAATAAAGACAAAGTACTATGATCGAAAGTGACCCAAGGTCAGTGGGCCAGTACAGTGACTACCTCTAGGAATCAGGCTCTGGTCTCAATCACTTGGCACAGGTCATACACAGGTATACAGCTTGTGATAGCACAGCTCTTTGTCCCTGGTGTTGGTTCACACAAAACATTGGTCTCACCCACTATCTCAAATGCTTACAAATACCAGCTACACTAATCTAAATGAGCTTCCTCTACCATCAGGCACAATCAAGTTGCCAAGGATCAGAATCAATGGCTATCCTAAGAACCAGCCTGGAAAGACTGTCTGAGGAAGTTCCTCATATCTGTTTTGAGGCTGTGTCTCTATCCATACCCCAGTTACTGGTCACTGACTCTTAGCAGAGGACTTTCTTATCTTTGATTTGCCCAAATGTGTCTCCTGGGCTCCAGAGACACATGAACAAGGGCTTGATAGAAATGTTTCTTTGTCTTCCATTAACATTTCAAATTCCACAAGACTGATTCTATTACCCCTGTCTTCATTCCCATATCCAATCTGTCATCTACTCGTCACCTCAGTAAATGATCTTTTTATCTTCCGAGGTACTTTCCAGGAATACTCCTTGACTCTTCCCCAACATCCAATTAAACCCCAGATCTATTATTTCTATCTCTAAATGTGTCCTGAATTTATCCAACTCTCTCCATCATCACTACATTACTTTACCTCAGCAACAATACCACAGCATTGTTTCTTCTGTTCAGTTATCTACACAGCAGCCTAAGATTCTTTTTTAAAATAAAATATGGGGCCTCCCTGGTGGTGCAGGGGGTTAAGTATCAGCCCTATGAAACAACCCCCAGCCACTGCAGCAGGAGTTTGTTCCCCCGGCTAGAGGACTGACCCACATGGTGTAGCAGGCCTCTCCTGTCCTGCCCTGCTGCTGCCCTCAGCAGTATATTTAAAGTCTTTAATTGCTAGGATATCAAATATTGGTTGGCCCTCCCTGGTGGCGCAGCGGGTTAAAACACAGCAACTAAGAAGCTTAAGCCACTTCTGCATGAGTTTGATCCCTGCCTGCCCCTGAGGTGACCACATGGTGCAGCAGACCTCTCCTGACCCGCCTGCTGCTCCCCTCAGCAGTGTATTTTGTCAGTCGGCCTGTTCTGCTCCTCACTCTGTCTCTGGTGGCTCCTCCCACCCTCCGCATCTCTGGCCTGTACCCCAAGTCTATATGAATAAATAAATAAATCTTAAAAAAATAATAATAAATAAATATTGGTTGCCGATGCTTTGTTGAAAACTCAGATGTGAGGCCTTTTGTCCAAGTGCCCACAATTTCATACTGTTGGAACATTCAATGTTATCTCTGGGGGCTGCAACTTTCTACAGGTTTGCCATGGCTGAACCCAGAAAGATGGTATATGCAGATTCCTACAAAAAGTGTGATTTGCTAAAAGATTTTTGAGCTGGGTATCCTATAGGAATGATGGCTGGATCTTTGAAAAGAAGATTATCTTCACAAATTGATATGTGTGTGTGTGTGTGTGTGTGTGTGTGTGTGTTTAAGATTTATTTATTTATGCATACAGAACTGGGATACAGGCCAGAGGCTCAGGGGCGGCTAGAGGCTTCACCATAGACAGAATGGGAAGCAGAACAGGCACATTGACGAAGTACACTGCTGAGGGGAGTAGCGGGCTGGTCAGGAGAGGTCTGCCACGCTATGTGGTCACCTCCAGGGCAGGCGGGAATCGAACTCATGTGGAAGTGGCTTTAGCTTCTCAGTGCTGTGCTTTAACCCGCTGCACCACCAGGAAGGGCCACAAATTGATGTTTTCAGAGAAGTTCAAAAGTAACTTAGGATGCCACCTCCTCTCCCTAACTGCCTCTGCTGCAGAAGAAAAGTCATTTTGAATATCTAGTCCCATGACTTAGAGTTGTGTAAGGTTCTAGTTTCTAGAAAGCTGCAGCCTGCAGGGATACAATAAACGTGCCCATGATATGAAATTATGAGTATTTGTCAGAAGGCCTTCCATCTGAGGTTCTGACAAAGCATTGGCAGCCAATACTTAACATCCTAGGAATTAAAGACCGGACCTAAATTTCAGTTTCTTGGGGTTGACTTCCGTGGAAATTTTATCCCTGATCTATGTTCCTGAACTAGAAAACATGAACATTGACTAGGGGTAGCTTCTCTTGATAAGAAAGCAGTTAAGACAATTTTTAAAAACACATTAGCAATTAGATAGTCTCCTAAAATATTTTTCTAATTTGAAATAAAGCCACATGTAGACTAACTAATTTAGGTACTTTTGACAACAATACAACATTGGTTTTCTGGTTTCAAAACAGAGAACAGTGTGTCAGGACCACATGTGTGAGCCTTGAGTAATGCAGGCAGCTGCCCCATCGCCTGGGTCTTCTGTTTTCTTAGTTTATTCATTTAAATTCATGACATCCTCACCTTCCAGAGCAAAGGAATTGCATATCACTCTGACTCTAATCTATAGCATTTGGTACCATGCTGTGCACATACTAGGCACCTGTCTGAACCTTTTTGGTCTTCATAGGATAGGTACCAGAACTGTTCAAATTGGAGGTGTCAATGATAGGGATGAGAATCTTATACGACTCTAAATTATTTGAGTTGAGTTTTAAAAATGACTGTCCTCTGAAGTGGGTGCAAGTTAAGAAGAGGAGCTGTATCCTAAGTCATTTTTGCACTTCTCTGAAAACATCAATTTGTGAAGACAAACTGTTCTTCAAAGATCACAGCCATTCTTATAGTTTTCACTTATTTTCTTCCCTCCATCAATCATAAAAGGATATATATATATATATATATATATATATATTTAAAATACTGAATGCTATTCTTGTTAAGTTAAATTGTAAATTCTTGTCAGAATTATAACATAAGTTACCTTCAGTGCCTAGAACAACCTTGTAATTAGAAAAATTCAGGTTAAAACAATTTCCCTGTTATAGCAGTATGACTTCTGCCCATCAAAGCTTGTCCAGCAAGGTATTAAAAAAGCAGTCCCCCAAGAGAGAAGGGACTGAGTATGTTTGACTAGATTGTCTTGGAAAAATAATTTTAATCTCTTGCTTGCCTTCATAACAGTTCTTCAAAACTTCGTACTCTGGCCAGAGGTTTGTCTCCTGCATACCTGAGATTTGGTGGTACTAAGACAGACTTCCTAATTTTTGATCCCAAGAAAACACCAACTTTTGAAGAGAGAAGTTACTGGCAATCTCAAGTCAACCACGGTGAAACTTTTAAAGATTAACCATAGATTTTAATTAACGAGCCATTAATCTGAGCATTCTCAAGGACAAGTGTTATTGCCCACATCTAACCATTAATAAGAAATTAAGGATCACCCACTAAACTGTAGAGGTATCCATATAAAGGAGGGAACTGTGGGCTGGCTTCATGAGTATGAAATATCACCAGCAAAAGATGTGCTGAGAATTAATGGTGCTGTAAACTGAGCAATGATTGCAGGTGACATTGATGTTTAGAGGAGGGAGCAAGTGGATAGAAGTGAAAAGAGTATTTATAACCAAAGAACAGATGAACCGAAGTCCATTTATTCTAGAACTAAAATGTGGATGAAAGATATAAGGGGGCTTGGAAATTTACTATCCTGTAAGAATGGACTTTAGGTCCTCCCAGGTGGTGCAACGGGTTAGAGCACAGCACTGCAAGCTAGCTGCAGCCACTTCAGTTCAAGTTTGATCTCTGGCCCCAGAGGTGATCCACATGACAAGGGAGGCAGACCTCTCGTGACCTGCTCCTGCTACCCTCAGCAGTGCACTTCCGTCGATCTGCCTGTTCTAAGGATCTGGTGAATCCCCTCACAGTCCCTGCACCTCTGGCCTGCACCCCAGTTCTGCATGCATAAATAAATAAATCTTTTAAAAAAGAATGGACTTTAAGTTGCTTTATAAGTCAGTGTGTGCTTCAAACATTGTTGACTATGCATACTCACCTGGAGTGAGTTTGAGGATTTGAATTCCTCATCTCCAACCTTAGTATCTGACATTAGCAAGCACCTAAGGTGATTCTGATATTGGAGGTTTTCTGGGCTGCACTGAGAATACTGCCCTGGGAGCCCTGAGGATTTGCTCTGTGTCTTTCATAAGTGCTATACAAATATCGAATGGAAGCTAAATCATTATCTTAAAATATCTCATACACCACCCGAGTTATAATATGTGTATACAATGTATATATCAATGAACAATGTCTCGGTTGGGAAGTGCTTGGAATAGTTCATCAGTAAACTGGGACCCAAATTGATAGAATACTAATTAGAAAAGAAGTAGAAGAATCCTTTTGGAATAACAAGTTAGAATAGTTCATGTTTAGGTTTGACTGTTCTCCAGTGTTCATCACGTTCAGTCTCGTAAGTTTACATAGAATTCTGTCCTTTACTTATTAATTTTCTTTATTCTGTGAAGAGATGGGGATATTCCTGGAATTCTCCAAGTGCCTCTGAAACATTCTTTGTCAGCTCTGGGATCAATGAGATCTAGGCTGCCAAAAAGCCAGAATGTGCAATTTTTGGGAAAGGAAGTCTTGACTGGTCAGCCAGCCCTGGCAGTGGGTACCCGGCCCCGCTGCTGTTTGTGATAAAGCAGCTTAAGTTGCCTGACAGGATAGTGGTGGGTTTTTCAAGTGCACATGTTGTATTCTCAGAAGCTTTGATATTACCAAATTTAAAGTCACTTCCTCTTCTACCATTATGACAAAGGGAAATCACCACACAGCAGATATAGTCATATAACACAAACGTCTGTGTGTTTTGAAAGTGAACCTGAAGAGAACTGAACTATGTTTCCTTCAGTAGGATTCTCTGAGGAAACTTCTGTGTTGTTAAAGAATTTGAAGTTTTATACTGTGTGTATCTGTTTCTACGTATGTCCAATGTTTCTTAGGAAACCTGCCCTCGGGTTAGTTTTCATGGTGGTTGGTTAGTCAGCAAATTTGGTGTGTGTAGCTAAATATATCCTTCTCTGATCTTAAACCTAATAACCAGAAACTTAACCATCCTGACTGAGTCACATAAGTAGCTAACTAATTATATGTATGGAATATCACTGTGAAAACAGATTCTCTAGATTATTTCTTCCCCTGGCAGATGTTTGCAAATCTGGGTCCATCCCTATTGATGTGGAGAAAAGCTTACAGTTGCAATGGCCCTTCCAAGAAGAACTGCTGCTCAGAGAACAATATCAGAAAAAGTTCAAGAACAGCACTTTCTCAGGTAAGAAATGAAAGGCACCCTGCAATCTCCAGCCCCAGTATATTTGGATAGCTTGAATTTGAGCTTGATTCTAGTAAGCCCTACAGCAGTTGTGTAAAGCTGCAAGATATTAAAGTGCTATCCAGAGTGATTGGGAAATCTGGAGCCCTAAAGTTTTGGTTTTTCCTTTTCTTTACCTGATTGCTTACTACCATGGCATCAAACAGGGGTCAAATATCAAAAGCATTCATTCATGAGTTAATTATGACCTTACTACTCTGAGGAACTAGGAAACTGAGCAAAACATAGATACTGTCTTTGTGTAAAATACAAAGAATGAGGTTCCTTCCCCTCCTGGAAGGAACCCTTATGATGAGTTGGTGTCTGGTTAGGCAGGAGAGTTCTGGGTCATACCAGTCAGCCTCCAAGCAGCTTTCTCTATATCCTTTCTCTGTAGCTTTACAAACACAAGAATAGATTAACTACCCATGAATTGAATTTCATTCACTAAAACAAATTCCAGTCTTCAAAATGGGATGATGATGTCACCCAGTGCTTTTTTTTTTTTTTAGATTTTATTTGTTTTTTTGTGTAGGAGAACCAGGGTATAGGCCAGAGGAACAGAGGCTAAGAGGATTCACCAGTGACAGAGTGGGGAGCTGAACAGGTGGATTTACTAAAACACAGGGCTAAGTGGAGCAGTGGGTAAGACAGGAGAGGTCTGCTGCACCATGTTTGGGTTAATTCCCTGGCTGAGGATCGAACTCAGAAGTGATAGTGCTAAGACTCAACCCTTAGGCCACCAGGAAGGCCCTTCCCTAGTGCCTTAAAGCAACTGATCTGAGCAATCTTTATTTAACTGTGAAATGTATTTTTATCTAATGGTTGATGTTTTATAATCAACTAAGGGACTATATTGTCTCAGATCTAATTTAAGGAAATAACTTGCTCAGATACTCTATACTGTCCTCTTTGAATAAGAAAAATAATCTTGAATGTTAATTTGGTTTAGTCAGCATTCCTAAAAGTTTGTTATTGAAATGTAAAGTATTTATCTTTGTTAGATTTTTACTCTGCGGAAACCTGGATTTCAGTGTACCTGATGTAGTCTTTTTATTAATAGGGTACAGAAAAATGTGACAGATGAAAAATAAGAAAGTAGATTACATACTAAATGATCCTGTAGCCCTCTAAATTATTTTGTACATTTTAAAAAGGAGGAAAAGTAATCTGATGCTTTAATAACATTATCCATAATTGGGTGAAATTTGGCTTAAGTCAATGACACCTCAGATCCCAATAAAAGAAGATAAAAGTACAAGAGACCCACAGTAATAAAGTATCATCTTTTTAGGAATCATTTTTTTTAAATTTTTTTAATAAAGATTTATTTATTTATGCATACAGAACTGGGGTACAGGCCAGAGATGCGGAGGGTGAGAGGATTCACCAGAGACAGAGTGGGGAACAGAACAGGCAGGATCGACGAAGTACACTGCTGAGGGGAGCAGCGGGCGGGTCAGGGGAGGTCTGCCACGCCATGTGGTCACCTCCGGGGCAGGCGGGGATCGAACTCATGCGGAAGTGGCTTTAGCTTCTCAGTGCTGTGCCACCAGGGAGGGTCATTAGGAATCATTTTTTATGACCTAGAACTGTCTTAGCAGATCATGGTGTAAGGTAATCTATAGCTTCTCACTTTGGGGAGGGGCAAAGAGGGTCATGTTAAACATAACAGTTTATCTCCAATTCTTTAAAAAAATATGGTCTGCTTTTTTGCTTCATCTGTGAAATGTATTTCTGGAACCAGAATGGTAGGTTTCCAACATCTTTTCCTATCTGTGTAGGGAAAAAATGGGGCGTGGGGGAAAGAATTTCCCTTGCCCATTATGTTAGCTCTAGCTACCGTGGCAATGCTAACATATATGACAAATGAAATAGTTTATTTATATTCAACATTTGGCTCCTGCTTTGAAATTTTTTATTTTCACTTGCATGTCTTAGAAATATAAAGGTAAGACTCTATTGTGTTTAGTCTGGGCACCTACTCTTTATAGCGACAAGTATCTCAGAAGCTTCTATGACTCAGTTTGGTGGAGTAGCTTGGGGTAGCATCCTACAAGAGACAGCAAAAGTCTGCTGTGGCGAAGTCATGGCCACTGTTTAGTTAGTGGCCTGCGACACTGAAACATGTATCCTAGAAGGTGAAGCAAGTTTTCTAATCACGGGTCCCCTGGCATGTGTTTCACTTGAGTAGAATGACAAAAACATTTGTCATGAGAGTATAAACTCAATATAAACCTGTTTGGGCAGGAAGAGGAAGCAGTGTTGCAGATATAATTCTGGGTGTGACTGCAAACAGGTCTCCTTTATTAAAATAATCATACTTAATAAGCTAATTCCTTGCTCTTCTTCCCCACCTCTCTCATCACCCCACTCCTCCACCCCATCACCCACTTCCATGCTGGATGCTGTGTACATGGCATAATGCCAAGGTGAGAGTCAGTGTCAGTTTTCAGTGTGTCATTTAGGTTCTTTTTGTTCCAGAGATCTTTTCACCATATCATGTAATGAGAGATAAGAGATTAGATTCCGATTGGGAACTAGATGATTAGCTGTGAGCTTTCTTGTTCTTATTTTGAAAAGGAAGTAGACCAGGTGGGTTTTTTGTTTTTAAAGAATGTATTTGAACTCAGTAGCATGAAACTCTTATTCTAGTAGATGCTACAGTTTATGTTGATTAAGAGTATCATAACAGAATTTCCAGCTACATAAATTCCAACTGTATTCTGAAAAATCAAGAGAGGAAAAGAATAAAATATTCTAGAATGCTTGCGTTCTAGAATGCTTGAGAATGTCATCATCATTTAAAGGGACCAGGCAATGTAGTGCTTTTGATATGTAAGCATTTTTGAACATATGTCTATAGATGTGAAGCTCAGGCCTTTTGATTTCTGATCCACAACATGTTTTTGAGATATAAAAACCTAACATGGCTGTCATTAGTAAGCCCTTGTAATAGGTGCTCCTGCCCAATAGTTACGTGTCATTGAGCAAAGCAGTTTATTTCTTAGAGTCTCAGTCTTCTCATAGAAAAATGAGGGTAGAGCTTTGGGGAGTACCCAGTGATGCCAGATGCGCTGTGCTGTGATCTTTGTGGCTCTAAAGTCCAGTTCCAATGTTGGGCTGCAGAACTTAAAATCTTTTCAAATGTTGGGCCCTCCTTGGTGGTGCAGCGGGTTAAAGTATAGCACTAAGAAGCTAAAGCCACTTCAGCATGAGTTTGATCCCCACCTGCCTCGGAGGTGACCTATATGGCGCAGCAGAACTCTCTGACCTGCCAGCCTCTCCCCTCAGCAGTGTACTTCATCAGTTGGCCTGTTCTGCTCCCCACTCTGTCTCTGGTGAATCCTCACACTGACCCTGCACCTCTGGCCTGTACCTCAGTTCTGTATGCACAAATAAATAAATCTTTTTTTTTAAAAAAAATTCTTTTCAAATGTTGAGGTCTTAATTCCTTGATGGTGGGAAGCAGTTTTGTGGAAGTGGGTAACTTTAGACATCAAAACACTTGAAACACCCTGCCAGAACTGCCTCTGCCCCTTAGCCTTTAGCAACACTAGTAGATCCAGGGTTTTACTGCTGTGATAGTCAAAGTAAATGAAGCAGAAGGCTTAGAAACAAAGCAAAATCAAAAGTCACAGGTATAAATTTTGCCACAGGTATAAATTTGCCACATTAACTAAAAAAGTTCCAAAAGTGAATTTCTATTTAACAAATGACTCAGAGTATTCATGGAAATTGCAGGTGTTTTATTCATATAACTGATTTAAAGATGACACTTGAAAGTACATTATTGTTTTTTTTAAAAGAGATTATAAACTGAGATGGAAAAATGCACAAAAATATGTAAAAATAAACTATTATAAAATTAAAAAAAAAAGTAACTATAGACTAGGTTATAGTTAAAGGCTGAGTTAAACAGTTCCCAAAGTTTTAGGGTACCTTACTGACTCAGTCATTTTTTTAAAAGATTTATTTATTTATGCATACCAGACTGGGGTACAGGCCAGAGGTGTGGGGGAAGAGAGGAGTCACCAGAGACAGAGTGGGGAGCAGAACAGGCAGACTGATGAAGTACACTGCTGAGGGGAGCAGCAGGCGGGTCAGGAGAGGTCTGCCAGCCATGTGGTCACCTCCTGGCCAGGGATGGAACTCATGCTGCAATTGCGGCAATAGCTTCATAGTGCTGTGTTTAACCCATTGCACCACCAAGGAGGGCCCTGACTCAGTATTTTTTGACAGTAGACCTAGTTCCTCAAAAACTACTTAAGAGTTTTCATTATTAAGTTGTTAAGTTCAAACAACCCAATATTAATAGTTTTTATCAGGTGTAAAAAGTGTTGATGTGTTTCCTTTCAAAATCTAAAAGATCCTGCTACACCTCTGTTAGTAGAATTTCCAGTTAAGTTTGAATTTCAGATAAACAATAACTTTTACCATTTTCCTCAAAACAGTAAGCCATGCATTAAATGTTTTTCTTTTTTAAAGATTTATTTATTTATACATACATTCTGGGTGTAGGCCAGAAATACAGGGGGTGAGAGGATTCACCACAGAGTGGGGAGCAGAACAGGCAGATTGACTGAAATACACTGCTGAGAGGAGCAGCGGGTGAGACAGGAGAGGTCTGCTGCACCATGTGGGTCACCTCCCTGGGTAGCCAGGGGATTGAACTTGTGCTGCAGTGGCTGCTGATAGCTCAGTCTTTAACCCCTGTGCCACCAGGGAGGCCCTGTTTTTCATGTTTTACTTGAAGTTCAAATTTAACTAGATGGCCTGTATTTTTGTTTGCTAAATCTGACAATTGTTTTGTTAATTTTTCTGTCCAGAGAAGGGTTGCTTTGGCAAGGAACCTTGGCATGTAGTTAAATTACAGCCCTGTAGCTCTAAGCCAATTTAAAAACTATGAAATTCTATTTATTTTAAACTAGTAGATTAAAGATTTCAAACATTTATCTTAAATAGAATTAAATTCATCAATCTATCTTGTGACTGGGTTTGAGTGCAGATATTGAGGTGATGGTGAATGGGGTTTATGTTGGCTGCAAGATTTTGGCTCAGGCATGGTAAAGGCTGAGCTGTTTACATAGTTTCCCCAACTCACCTGAGATCACTTGAACAAAACCTGTGTGCCAGAGTAAGGTATCCGGTAGCTTCCAAGGGACATGACCCAACAACTGAAGAAAATGTCACATCTTTTTTTTTTTTAATTCACCAGTTCTAGATCACATGCAACAATAAAAGGCAGAAGAGCCCAAGCGAGGCCCAGTCCTAACATCATGCCAGACCTGGGAGATTTATGCCTTTCTGTACATTTTTCAAACACGGGAAATATGGATATATGTGTATAATATGGAGCATAGGAAAATACAGTGTATTGTTGTAGCATAAAAATAAATAAATAAATTCAGTTCAATTTTTTTTTTCCTTTATTCATTTAACCAAGTTGAAATTCCTTCAGTTTCACAATAGACATAGCAATTTATTTAAAGAGTGTATCTTGAGGCTTTTGTCAAGGTGGTGCTAACTTGCCATTAAATTACATCTTCTTTCAGAAAGCTCAGTAGATATGCTGTATAATTTTGCAAACTGCTCAGGACTTGACTTGATCTTTGGTCTAAATGCATTACTAAGGACAGCAGATTTGCAATGGAACAGCTCCAATGCTCAGTTGCTCTTGGACTACTGCTCTTCTAAGAATTACAGCATTTCTTGGGAACTAGGCAATGGTAAGTATCCCTGGGGACATTCAACTGCTAAGGAGATTCCCTTTGGTATTATTTGTTCTTATTCATGATATTCCTTTTAATATTACCAAATCTACTTCAGCACATTCACAACAATGCCCACAATGAAACCGTTGGCAGAATACTCCTTTATATTTCCCAGAACCTATTGCTAATCCCTTCTTTATGTTACATTTGAGCTGAGAACAACTAATTGGCTCTAGCAACTTTCACAACTTAATTTTGTTTGTGATTTGCAGGGCACTTAGGTATGTGATTGGCAGGCTGAACTCAGCGTTTGCTTTTACCCTTCTATTCCTTTTGCTGTTGGTCATCTTGTCAGTTAATCTTAACAATCCCATTGCAACCCCATAATGTGCTCAAGCTAGAAGTACCCAGTAATAATAATCCTACCTGGGGTCAGTTCCTGATTAGCTACTTCACTCTTTTTGTAAAGAACTTATCAATTCTAACTAAAGTGCTAACGATTAGCCACCTACTTTAAAAACATGTATAGGGGCTCTCCCTGGTGGCGCAGTGGGTTAAAGCACCACATTATGAGGTTCTCTGAAGCCACTGCAGCACGAGTTCAATCCCCCACCAAGGAGGTGACCCACGTGGCATGGCAGACCTCTCCTGACCTGCCTGCTGCTCCCCTCAGCAGTGTACTTCAGTAGACTTGCCTGTTCTGTTCCTCACTCTGTCTCTGGTGAATCCTCTCACCTCCCCTGCACTTCTGGCCTGTACCCCAGTTCTGTAAGCATAAATAAATAAATCTTTAAAAAAAAAACAAACATGGATAGCTCTCTAATGGGAATGACCACTGTAGCATCAATGAAATTGAAAGAATGTACTTATTACATTAATTCTTGCTCTGCATCCAGATACCATGACCACAATATAGAGAGCTGCTTTTACTCATTCCCCTTTTCATTCATTGCAGGTTTACTTAGACTCCTAGTTGGACCTACTTTGTCTTATTTCAGAAAGTCAAGATAGTTTCCCTTTAGCTCTCTTATTTCTTCCTCCATTCAGAGCAATCTTTTATTAAAGAAATCATTTATAGTGCTTTTTCCACACATTGGCCAGTGGAACTCACAATAAAATGGAAAGTAAGTTGTAGTAATATCATAAGCACTATCCATTAAATTCTGAGCATTTAATAAGTATTAGCTTATTTTATCTTTATAATCTCCTTGAAATAGACACAATTACAAGGGTCATTTCCCAGATGATAAAAGAGGCACAACAGGAAAAGAGCAATTGATAAGTAACTGTGATGCTGAGCAACTAAGTGGAGGAGTTGTAATTTGAACCCAGGCAGTTTGTCTCCAGTGCCTGCTCTGCTCCCTTGAGACTTCCATTCTAGAGGTAGGGAGCCAGAATGGCACGAAAGCAAGCCAAGAGATAAGATACATGTCTATAATAAGATGTGGTATGACAGTGTCTAGCTGTAGATTTGGCTAGAGGAAGTGAAGGATATTGGCAAGTTGAAACATAGAAAAAAGAGAAGAAGCTTAGAGGCATCCATCTTGCAGCCAGACACTGAACGACTTGGCTGCAGCAACCAACAGGCCCCCTGCAGCCATCCTTCTCCATCTCTGTCCATCCTTCCCTGCCTATTTTCCCCCTCTACCCATTTTAGACTCTTCCACTCTTCAGAACAAGGTGAAAGAATGATGTCATTATACTTGCTTCTTCCTTGGGTCTCATTTTGCAAAGAAATCTGGTTCCCAGGGAGATGGGGAAGACATCAGGGAAGAGTTTTGCAAGGTGCATTTGGCAAGTAAGTCGGACACAGCCCTTATCTCCTTCCCATATATTTGGCATTTGCTTCCAGGATCACTTGTACATACACTACTTGAGTAAAAATTCTAAGTGGATCAAAATATTCTAAGCAAAGCTTTTTTTTTTTTTTAAAGACTTATTCATTTATGCATACAGAACTGGGGTACAGGGCCAGAGGTGCAGGGGCAGTGAGAGGCTTCACCAGAGACAGAGTGGGGAGCAGAACAGGCAGATCGACGAAGTACACTGCTGAGGGGAGCAGTGGGCGGGTCAGGAGAGGTCTGCCGCGCCATGTGGTCACCTCCGGGGCAGGCGGGAATCGAACTTATGCGGAAGTGGCTTCAGCTTCTCAGTGCTGTGCTTTAACCCGCTGCGCCACCAGGAAGGGCCCTAAGCAAAGCTTTTAATGGCATTGTAGAAAACCATTTCAATGCCTCCCCAACCAACTTTTTTTTTTTTTTTAAGATTGATTTATTATGCATGCAGGAACTAGGGTACAGGCCAATAGTGCAGGGGGTAAGGGAATTCACCACAGAGTGGGGAGCAGAACAGGGAGATTGACTGAAATACACTGCTGAGGGGAGCAGTGGGCAAGACAGAAGAGGTCTGCTGCACCATGTGGGTCAGCTCCCTGGCCAGGAATGGAACAAGTGTTGCAGTGGCTGCAAATCACTTCATAGTGCTGTGCTTTAACCCATTGCACCACTAGGGAGGGCCCCAACCTTCTTGTTTTAAAATACATTAGGCTATTAAATACTGGATATAGGCTATTTTCAAAGTGTCCCTACTTTAATATTCCCATTATTAGCTTCAAATACTCCCTCAGGTACATAAAGTTTTCTTTCTCAAGAATAGCCTCTTTATAACCAGAATTTTTGCTTTTTTTGCCTGTTTGTGTAATTTGAAAAATGTGTGGTTGCTTTTATATATACTGCTGTATTTACTTTTAAATATATAATTTCTAGGCAAATGATTATTTTGAGAATTGCTGTCTTTCAGAACCGAACAGTTTCAGGAAGAAGGCTGGTATTTTCATTGATGGGTTGCAATTAGGAGAAGATTTTATTGAGTTGCATAAACTTCTAGAAAAATCCACTTTCAAAAATGCCAAACTCTGTGGTCCTGATGTTGGTCAGCCTCGAGGAAAGACTCTTAAGATGTTGAGGAGGTAAGAGCTACAGGAAGCATGTGTTTGAAATTATAGGAAATCTTAAGGGGAAATAACCATTGAATTAGAATAAATCATAAAAATTCATTAAAATAATACTTGATGTTCATGGTGATTGTGGTATAAGATAGTTTCAAATATGTTTTAAGTATTTGTCTTAGTCTATTTGCTGTATATGCTGAAATTTTTGTTTTCCACTTAATATTTTTATAGTCTAGGAAAGTATTTTATAAGACTAGTTTTAGACCAATTTTTCCTAGGTAGTATTCAATTCACTGTACCTATTTGGTGTTTAGAAGGGAACCAGAAGATGAATTCACACACTTTCTCCCAATGAAACAAATTATGGCTCCTACCCTTGACAAGCCATAGAATTAGACTGATATTTAAACCATTTTCATCAGTTTCAAATGATAAATTCTAGTTATAAATTTTTTAAATTAGTTTTGGGAGAACTTTGTTACTAGATCACTAAATAATCTTTCTAAGAGCTATTTTTTTTTTTTTAAGATTTATTTATTTGTGCACACAGAACTGGGGTACAGGCCAGAGGCTCAGGGGCGGCGAGAGGCTTCACCAGAGACAGAGTGGGGAGCAGAACAGGCAGATCGACGAAGTACACTGCTGAGGGGAGCAGCGGGCGGGCCAGGAGAGGTCTGCCACGCCATGTGGTCACCTCCGGGGCAGGCGGGAATCGAACTCATGCGGAAGCGGCTTTAGATTCTCAGTGCTGTGCCTCAACCCGCTGCGCCACCAGGGAGGGCCTCTAAGAGCTATTTTATATATTAGAAGCAATTACAGTGAAATATGTGATTTTTGAATTAACGGTGCTAATTCTCTGTGATGTCAAGTGCAAGCGATATCTTAGAGTTGTTGACCTTTTTCTGTTTTTCTGCAGTGATGCATTTGAATATATCTATTTCTGTTAATAAACTTTTGAAGAATATTTGTGCAAAAAAAAAAGAGCTAGAGGAAGCAGAACCACTTTTCTTCAAAACAATATTTTTCTCTAGCGGAGAATCCTCAGTAGTGCACATTACTAGACCCTTTGCTGTCAAACAAGGTGTTTTACTAAAAGAGATTGACAGGTTCAGAAACTAAGGATTTGGGGACAAATGGCACCTAAGATAAAACTGTGTCAGGTTTTTCTGATCCTAACATAGTTAGGATCATTTCTAGGAAATAAAACTGCTGTCCACGTGTTATACGTACATGTCGTGCATATGAGAAGTAAATAACATTTTGTTTTTTTTTTCTAGTTTCCTAATGACTGGGGGAGAAGTAATTGACTCAGTTACTTGGCATCAGTAAGTATGTCTTCTGCTCTTAAAACTAAGAAAGTAATGCTAGTTTTACTTAGTCAACGTAATGTTAGCATTACTTAGTCTTCAAAATGATTTCCATTTCACTATTAATTGGCTTTATAGTTCAAATGAGTAAGGTCTCAAGCAAAAGCACTGTATTAGCATTTTAAGATGAATCAAACAAAGCACATTTAACTTACTTAAATAATGTGGTAGTTTCTACAAGATCAAGGCACACTATCATCGAACTCTCGAAACAGATAAGTAACTAAAACTAGTGTACTTGTCAAAGAGTGGGTAATTCATGCCTGAGTACCGCAGCATGGCTGTGACATCTCAGACAGTAATTGACCCCTTCTACCTTGATCTCTCCTTGTAAAACTTATGACTTTTGGGCCCTCCCTGGTGGCACAACGGGTTAAAGCACAGCACTGTAAAGCTTCTTCAATGTGAGTTCAATCCCCAACCAGGGAGGTGACCCATAAAGTTCAGCAGACCTCTCCTGACCCACTGCTGCTCCCCTCAGTAGCATACTTTGTGGATCTGCCTGTTCTGTTCCCCACTCTGACCCCGGTGAATCCTCTCACCACCCCTGTACCTCTGGCCTGTATCTCAATTCCGTATACATAAATAAATAAATCTTTTTTAAAAAAAAACTTGTGACTTTTTACTTTTTGTAACAAGGGGATCAGAAAAGATAGGAAAGGGAGCGGGAGAGCCAACTATTTAAAAGCAAAAAGTAAAGTTTTTTTTTTCTTTTTCTGAATATTTTCTGATTTAGCTACTACTTGAACGGTCGGATTGCTACTGAAGAAGATTTTCTAAACCCTGATGTGTTGGACACATTTATTTCATCTGTACACAAAATTCTCCAGGTAGTAATCTTTTTTTTACCTTTTTGATGGGTCCTTACTTTGTTGTCTAGTTGATTCTAAATTCTGTATTAATATAAATGTTTGTGTTTTTCTAAGTTTACAGAATAGGTACTAGGTCTATATACCTTCATTCCCTCTTAGCATTGGGTCTTACTTTTGAATGTTGACTAAATAATTCCCAATAGCCTTTTGGTAGAATTAATTCTCATACATCGTAAGAATGGAATTATTTACATTCCTTCCATACTCAGTATTGCAGCAAAAGTAGATTGCCCAAGACCAAAATGACTCTGAATATATTTTATAACTACATTGAGTGAATGGGTCTGGGAATATAAGGTTTGGGTTGTCATTAATCTTCAACACCGTAATTGGTAGGATTGTTTGCAATTACCATGGAAACTTTCCTGTTTCTTAGGTGGTTGAGGAGATCAGACCCCACAAGAAGGTTTGGTTAGGAGAAACAAGTTCTGCCTACGGGGGTGGAGCACCCTCGCTGTCCAACACCTTTGCGGCTGGCTTTATGTGAGTGAGGTCGCTCTCCCCTCGGGAACTGACTGCCGCCTTCTCCTGTCCTCTTGTTCAGCTGAAATAGCTCATCAGGCAAAAATCTGATCAAAGATGATTTCTGTAGCTGAGCCCAAAATGGGTGCCAGACTTGGTGGAGAAAATGCTTACTAGAACTTGTTGGCCGTCTGTAACGTGTGTCTCAAATCAATCATTGTTCGGATGAATTGCTTTACAAGTTTATTTCCTTAATTATGACCTATAACTATGCCAAGGATCCCTTCTTTTATAGGACTACATTGCTTAAAAAAAAAAAGCACAGCAAGAGCTTTGACCCTAAGAAAGATACTTCATACATAAAGCTATACACGTAAATTCCCAATGTTTAGAGCTTAAAGAAGGGAGGGGAATTACTCCTTCAAAAAACTCACTCAAGTCACTCAATTATCTATCCACCACAGATTGGTGGCTTTAAACATCTATCTTACTTACATTTCATAATTCTGTTGACACTCAATCTGTTGTTCTATATCCATTAAGACATTCTTTATGCTCATGGAGCTGCATAGAGGAAGATAAAGGAAAGATAGAGGAAAGAATGGAAATGTTTGTTTTGTGATTAACTAAAGATGGGCAGGGGAGGTGTCCATAAAAAGTTCTGATTTTACTCTATTTATTTCACATGTACTACTGCTGACTAAAAGCACTCTTCTCTTCAGACCTCACTTGTAGGCTGGGGCCCATGGTGAAGAGTTGGGTAGGATGTTGTCTTACACTGAATAGGGCTCCTGAGGTATATTATTAGTCTTCTGGGGTTTGTTCTCATGCTAAAGCATAGAAAGATGTGAAGGAAGGATAGTCTCCATTTCCATTAAATGACTTTTGTTTATATTTAATTTGCCCAACACGGATGATTAAATCAGGGTAATATGGGATTTGAATTGAGTTACTATGTTTTCCAAACTAAAGAAAAGTGGTCTTTACTCTTTTCCAGGTGGCTGGACAAATTGGGCCTGTCAGCCAGGATGGGTATAGAAGTGGTGATGAGGCAGGTGTTCTTTGGAGCCGGAAACTACCACCTAGTAGATAAAAACTTCAAGCCTTTACCTGTAAGTGACCACTCTTAGACTATTTCTGTGAATAGACTAACTTACCCTGGAGATATCTTGTTTTAACCACCTTTTCTAGTCTACTCATCTTCTCATTCGATTCAATGTTCTCAATAAACTATGGAAAGATATATTAGAAGAAATGTTAAAGATCGTTCATTCTAACATTTCAGTGTCTCAAGAGAAGAAGTTGAAGTCCGGTAATAACTTTTTAAATGTGGGCCATTTGGTACATGGCATGGAATTTTTTTCACAAAGGGGTCATTTAAATTTTTATGATTTTAACTGCAAAGGTAAACTTGGATCAAAAATGTTTTGTAAACTAAATCGAAATTAAATTGACTTGCAATATCCAAAATTTAATGATATTTTAACCATAAAATCTTCACTTACTTTAATTTAAAAGATACCTGGGCCTCCCTGCTGGCCTGCCAGTCGCATCTCAGTGCTGTCACTGCTACAGCACAGCTAACCCACTTGTGGCCCAGCAGACAAGTCTTACCCACTGCTCCCCTTGCCACTATATTTCAGTAAATCTGCCCATTCTGTTTCTGGTGAATCTTCTCACCCTCCACACCTCTGACCTATACTCCAGTTCTTCTATATACACACACACACACACACAGAGGTTTAAAAAAAAACTCACTCTAAGAATTGGTTATTTTGTTAATGATCTTCAAGATATTTATGATTAATTTACCACTTGCCTTCAATTACTAAATCAGAAAATGTAATGTTTCCATGCAAAAGTCATCTGGAAAACATATCAATTGTTAGAACCTGAGGCTTGAGTTTATCAAGTTTTGTTTATTAAAGTTTTTTTTATTTTGTTTTGCAATCATTCTTTGTAGGTAACTTGTGCTTCCATCAAGAGACACATACTGTCTAGTTGTCTCTCTCTCTTTTTGACCTTGATACATAGTAGTGATCATTGCCTATCTTTAGTTTACATATGGGGGAGAAGGGGGCCGCTAAGATTTTCAGTGAAAATCTTTTAGTCTCTTAAACAAATGTTTTATTTTTAATATTCCTCTGTATGTGTGTGTGTCTGTTGATATATCTGTGTATAAAGTTCTGCTTTGAGTTTTGCTTTCAGTTGTTCATTGGGGGACAACCAAAAACGTTTAAACTGTCTTTGAGCAATGAAATACATTCTAAGATTCCATCTCGTGTAGGCATGGCCCTCTGAACTGTGGGAACAGTCTTTCAGTGGTAAAAAGACAGAAAACAAGGTATTGCCCTCATGTTCAAGATTTTGGTCAGATTTTAGAGCAAAAGATTAATCCTATTTAAATACCTCTATAATAAAAAATCACACTCTTTTGGCAGGTAACTATTTTCTTGACCCTGTTTTTGTTGAATAAAAAAATAAGTAAAGATCAATTTTGTCTTTCCTCTCCCCAACCACAACTAGGATTATTGGTTATCTCTTCTGTTCAAGAAACTAGTGGGAACCACTGTATTAATGGCAAAAGTAAAAGGTCCAGACGGGAAGAAACTTCGAGTTTATCTTCATTGCACAAACACCAATCAGTAAGTATGTAACAACACACCCTTTACAATCAACATATTTTAATCAGTAAACATATAACTTCCTATTTTAACACCCTGCTGTCCTCTGTTTAGTTCTAAGGTTGCTTATTGTTCTTTATTTATTTCATATTCATAGTGATATGGTGACAGGATTTATCCCCGCCCAAAAGCTATAATTTAAATATAGGTATTTGTATCCTAGCAAAGGTTATATAGTGATTTAAGTTATCAAGTTATCATAACCCATAAATGGAAGTATATCCTGAATTTAAATAATGAATAGTAACAAAATGTTGGAACATATAAATGTTTTTCTGTGAATGAGTAATTCATTGAGTGACTATGAGTGAATATAATTATGAATGTAAATTCATATAAATGAACAGTCATAAACATACTAACCCCCCTGTATCATGTCTGATAAATTTAAAAAGAAGATGAATGAAAAAGAGAACAATACCCTTGTTTTCAAAAGTTTCAACCCAGTTTCTAGATTTGAAAGGCCATGGAGACTTATTTATTTATTTATTTTAATTTTTCTGTGGCAATGATTCAAAATACCAACAATCTCTTGAATTTCTAATTATTACATTAATTGATTTATTTCCTTATACCATTGCTCAATTTTGGACAGCATTTTCCCCTGTAATTCTCCCGCCACCACAGCTTCCGTGAATCATAGTCCCTTGTGGCCATGGAGACTCTTGTAGTTCAGTAAATAGCAAAAAAAGTTCCTAGACCTCAGAAATTCTTCCCTTTTCCTTAGTTGCAATCTGTCCTTCCTGGTCGGAAGGACACTAAAATACTAGTTCTGACTTCAAAAGTCACCTACCCTGCTTACTTTCCAGTGAGTGGGACTCAGTGGACATTGGAGCCCACTAAGAAGTTGGGAAGTAAGTTCTAGAATAAATTCTGAAACATGTCAGTAGATTTATTTTTCTTCTTCATTTCAGTCTTTTCATGAGGCTGGAAAAAGGTCATTTAAATGGTGTGTAATTCACATGAACACAAAATTTTACCATTTAATCTTCCTTTGTTTCAATATGGGGATGCTGACAGACTTCCTAGCAATACAGCTTAGCAAAACAGCAAAGATCTCAAGTTGCTCTAGACAGAAAATGAAGTGTGAAAAGCATCTGTAATCAGTTTTTCAAAATAAATTGAATCAGTGTTTTAAGATTGTCACAGAAGGAAGGATCCAAAGAGGGTCTGTCATCATCATAGATTAGTATCCACTGATCATACTTATAATTGAGTTTTGATTACTTAAACTAGATAAACATTGTATTGAGTTAATCTGTTTACTTTCAGCCCAAGGTATAAAGAAGGAGACTTAACCCTGTATGTCTTAAACCTCCATAACGTCACCAAGCGATTGCAGTTGCCATATAATTTCTTTGATAAACAAGTAGACAAATACCTTGTAAAACCTTTAGGACCTAAAGGACTACTTTCTGAGTGAGTAACTTTCCTTTTTTATTTTAAACTTTTATCAAATTTATTCACATTTATCAGAATAATATGTTGGTAGGGAACCCCCCAAAAATCCATTATGTCAAGTTAATACTAATTCTTAATATTCAGAAAATTTATAGATACTATCGATACAGATAGTATCACTCTGAGAGTGCAAGGTAGAAGTTTATGAATGTAGACTAGCAATTAACTTAGGGAATAGTTTACACTTCAAAACAACTTGATATTTCAAGATTCATTCAATGCATTTAGATTATTTGCTCTAAAAAGACACAATTCTTAAGCCAGAAAGAGAAAGAAAAATACCGGATGGTTTCACTCATAGCAGGAGTATAATGGACCAGGCGAGAAAATAACAAAAATAATGAACAA